TCTCGATTTTTTATCGATAAAAAATAAGGACGATCACGATGATACACACAGACTATAAAACTCGATCAAGAATAGAATAGAATAGAATATTCCTTTAATGTCCATCAAATTTACATCAGATGGAAATTCATCTTTAGCAGTGACGTAAGCACACAATACAGACAAGACTATACACAATAAACATATATCAATACAACTAAATATAAATAAAATATGTTAATAAAATATTTTTAAAATATGTTAATAAAAATAATTTAACATAAATAAATTTAAAACAAAATACATAAAATACCTGTATAATAACACTATCTGCTAATAAAAAAGTCTTTGTTAAGAATAGTTACAGCTGACGGAACAAATGACCGCTTGTAGCCTTTTTTCTTGGCTAACGGGACTACAAGTCTCCTGCATGATGGCAACAATTGAAAGGCACAATGAAGAGGGTGGATAGAATCTTGATAAACCTGTTGTGCCTTTTTTGTCAAAATCTGTGTGTACAAGTAGGAGAGTTGATGTTGTTTGTGTCCAATGATTTTCCCGGCCTGATTGACGATTTGTGCCAGTTTGTTCTTTTGTTTAACTGACAGTTGCCCATACCATGACACTATGTTAAATGTCAGCACACTCTCAGTCAGTGATTTGTAGATCATGGACATTGTGCGCTGGCTGGTGTTAAAACTCCTGAGCTTCCTCAGAAGAGACAAACGCTGTCTTCCTTTCTTGTACACATAATCCACATGATTTTGGTAATTTAGCTGGTTGTCTAATATTGTCCCAAGGTATTTGAATTCGGTGACTTGCTCCACTTCCTGACCCTTCACACTAATTGGCTTGAAGGTGGCCACAGCATTCTTATTGCTTCCTTTCTTGCTGCTCACTAGCCACATCTCCTTGGTTTTGTTAACATTGAGGTCCAGAAAGCTGCTGTCAAACCATGAAGCTAGCGTTTCAATATACTGAAGGTAGGGAGAGCTGTTTAAGTCCCAAAGGCAGGCGACTAAGGCCATATCATCTGCATACTTAATGAGGGAAAGGTGACTGCTGTTACACTGAATTTCATTTGTATATATGGAAAAAAGTAAGGGAGATAGTACACATCCTTGCGGAACACCTGTATTCAGGACAAGAGCATTAGAGAGGCAGTTCTTAATACAAACTCGCTGTGGTCGGTCTCTCAAAAATTCCTTGATGAAAAGGATGATGCCACCGCTAACTTTCAGGTCGCAAAGGCGCTCAAGGAGGAGGTGTGGCTGAACTGTATTAAAGGCTGAGGAAAAATCCATAAAAAGAATCCGAGCATGAGTGTTGGGTTTGTCCAGATGACTGTAAATACTATTTAGCAGGGTGAGTGTCGCATCCTCCACCCCTCTGTTGTTCCGATAGGCAAATTGCATGGGGTCCAGTGATCCTGCTACCTGGCAGGTCAGTTCATCCCGAACAAAGCGCTCCATGCATTTGCTGAGGAGGGGTGTGAGAGCAATGGGTCTAAAGTCATTATTCTTTTTTATGTACTGAGTTTTTGGTACAGGTATAATATTTGCTGTTTTCCAGGCCTGGGGATAAAAGTTAGAGTCCAGAAACAGCTGAAACATTTTCGTGACAGCTGGTGCTAGTTGTACTGCGCATTCCTTTAAGACCCTCCCTTTGAGCCCGTCTGGACCTGGGGCTTTGTGAGGATTAACCTTTTGCAGTATAGTCATCACTTTTTCCTCCTGAATAATCATTGGATCAGAGGTCAGTCTAGAGCAAACAGCGTCACACTCACTCCTAAAGTCATGCTTATCAAATCTGGAGTAAAATATATTTAAATTATTTGCAAGGTGGGCCGGGTCGTCACACTGAATGGTCTGTCTCTGCTCCCTACCCATCATTTTGTTCAGTCCTCGCCATGCATCTCTAGCATTACCAGTCTTCAGTTTCTCCTCAACCTTATCTTTATAATTCAATTGGGCTCTTTTTATTAATCGTCTAGTGTCCTTTGTCAGCTCCTTTATTTTTCCTAAGTCACCCTGCATAAAAGCTATTTTCTTCAGGTTTAAATGATATTTAAGTTCCTTACTGACCCATGGTTTATTATTTGGATAGATTTTAATTTCTCTTGTTCCAATTACTGAATCCACACAAAAATTAATATAGCCAGTTATGGTGTCATTTAATAGTTCATAATTGCTCAGACAGTCCTTATCGCTTAAAAACAGATCCCATTGCGTTGCCTCAAAACAGCCCCTCAGCATGTCCATCGAGCTTTCTGTCCAGGCTTGACAGTGCAAAACAGTCGGTTTAACCCTTTTTAAGGATTGTCGGTACTTTGGTAAAAGGTGGATGACGTTGTGATCTGACAGTCCCAAAGGTGGGCGGGACCGGGAAACGTAGGCACCTTCCACATTCCCATAACATAAATCTATAGTTCTGTTCATACGTGTCGGGCATGTGACATATTGTTCCAAATTAGGCAATAGTGCAGAGACATCACATCTGTTAAAATCTCCCAATAGGAAGACGGGATCATCAGCAGAGTAATGTAATGCTTTATTATACCTAGCAGCAATATTCTCTGCCGCGAGTTTAAAGTCTGGCCCCGGCACATACACCAAGATCACTGTTATTTGACCAAACTCACGAGGCAAATAATACGGTCTGAATGAAACAGTCAGTAATTCATAATGAGCGGTGCAGTCAATGTCACGTACCGTGATGTTTGTTGCCCAGCTGGAGTTTATGAACATACAGAGTCCGCCTCCGGTTTGCTTTGCCGTCTGTATTACATCCCGGTCACAACGA